AAGGAAAGTTGCATTGTCTGAGGAATGTGAGATTATTATATGTTTCTCACACAAACACACACAGAGACACATACTAAGACTCCCATCAAGGGCTGTATTTAGACTCTGGGACCCCCAATGTACCTCAGGTTTGGGGCTCCCTTAGGAATTAAAGCAAAAAGGAAGAGCAAAGTGTGCTGTTTATATACCGCCCCATAGCACTTCAAAGACACTCTGGGCAGTTTACAAGTTAATTATGCAGTCTACCACACTGCTCCCCCAGCGAGCTGTGTACTGTACTTCTTTTACTGACCTCGGAAGGATGGAAGGCAGAGTCAATCTTGAGCCGGCTACCTGGGATTGAGCACAGTTTTGTCTGCAATATAGTAGTTTAACCACTGCGCTACGAGGCTCTTACAAAGTAAATCACCAAATTTACAAATAATACAAATCAAAGTCCATTTTTTACATGTCATTGGAGCTTATATGTCCATTGTTGTTGTTGTTGTTGTTTAGTCGTTAAGTCATGTCCGACTCTTGTGACCACATGGACGAGAGCACGCCAGGCCCTCCTGTCTTCCGCTGCCTCCCAGAGTTGCGTCAGATTCATGTTGGTGGCTTCGAAGACACTGTCCATCCACCTCGTCCTCTGTCGTCCCCTTCTCCTCCTGCCTTCACACTTTCCCAACATCAGCATCTTCTCCAGGGAGTTTTCTCTTCTCATGAGATGGCCAAAGTACTGGAGCCTCAGCTTCAGGATCTGTCCTTCCAGTGAGCACTCAGGGTTGATTTCCTTCAGAATGGATAGGTTTGATCTCCTCGCAGTCCAGGGTATTCTTAAGAGTCTCCTCCAGCACCACAATTCAAAAGCATCAATTCTTCGGCAGTCAGCTTTCTTTATGGTCCAGCTCTCACTTCCATACATCATTCCTGGAAAAACCATAGCTTTGACTATGTGGACCTTTGTCAGCAGGGTGATGTCTCTGCTTTTTAAGATGCTTTCTAGGTTTGTCATTGCTTTCTTCCCATGAAGCAGGTTTAATTTCGTGGCTGCTGTCACCATCTGCAGTGATCATGGTGCCCAAGAAAGTAATATCTGTCACTGCCTCCATATCTTCCCCTTCTATTTGCCAGGAGGTGATGGGACCAGTGGCCATGATCTTAGTTTTTTTTAATGTTGAGCTTCAGACCATTTTTTGCACTCTCATCTTTCAACCTCATTAAGAGGTTCTTTAATTCGTCCTCACTTTCTGCCATCAGAGTGGTATCATCTGCATATCAGAGGTTGTTGATATTTCTTCCGGCAATCTTAACTCCGGTTCGGGATTCCTCCAGTCCAGCCTTTCGCATGATGTATTCTGCATATAAGTTAAAGAAGCAGGGGGACAATATACATTGGTGCCCCACATAGCGACCATAATCCGTTCCGGAAAAATCGTCGCTATACGGATTCGTCGCTATACGGGGCAAAAAAGCCCACAGAAACACATTAAAACGTAATTAATGCGTTCCTATGGGCTTGAAACTTACTGTTCAGCGAAGATACTCCATAGCGTGGCCATTTTCGCTGTTCATTAAGGGAGGAATCTGTCCCAGAAACAGCGGGCAGCCATTTTGAAACCGCCAGTCAGCTGTTATAAAAGTATTGCTATGATCTGAACCGATCATAGCAAAGCCAAGTTCCACTGCCAGCCAGCCCTGGAGGACGCCCGGCCTCCTTGCCGGGGCTGTCCCGGGACACAAACAGGTGGGCCAGAGGGTCTTTCTCCGG